GGCATTACCACTATGTCTTACAGTTTGCCATCACACATCGGGGCTTGTCCGAAGGATCAAGAGTGCTAGGCTCGGCTGAAAGTGGAAATAAACAGATTCTACAAGGACCACAAGATGTAAGACCCCAGAACCCTGCTCAAGTGGGAGAAATCTCTAGATACAAGCCCAAGTAACACAGCTTGAAAAGGCTATGTCCCAGGCCTCAGAGCCCACTGCAGAGTGGACATGGCACCTAAGGCCTCGTGGAGCCCTGAACCCAGCCCCACCACCAGACACTGGCTTCGGGGGTGACAGACTGCCAACATCATGATGGAAGGCCGAACACAAATGAAGCCTTGGGATTAAAGGGTGCTTGGAAGAAACAGGGAGATGGGGAGAGATCTTCAAAAAAAGATTTGGTGGTACCTACCACCCAGAACATGAGAAGCATTGGGCATCCCTCACAACTAGGTCCCAGCTGCAGCTCCCCAAGGCCATACCAAAGATGTAGGACAAACGAGATTTTTTTTTTACTTTTATTTTGTCCCATTTCATACATGTGGGGGGATAGTGAGAAAGTAAAGATTTTCCTTCTACCATGTAGGCCCTAAGGATCAAATCAAACTCAGGTCATCAGACTTGGTGGCAAGCACCCTTTTGTTTCCTGAGCCACCTTGCTGGTCCCAATCCCCAAGATTCTGTTAGTGCCCTGACCCACCCACTTTCAAAGCTCTTCCATGCCCTTGGACAACCATGGCAGTCACTTACTTAGCCTGTGTCTCCTGATGCCAGCATCCTGGGACAGACGTCAGTGACCTTGATTAGAGGTTAGAGGTGATGTCTGCCTTCAGGCGCTTCAGAGATGAAAGGAAAGGGAGCTGCGTGGATAAAGGGAGAAGCTGGAAATCATCCTTGCCCTTCAGTCCATACATGTCACTGGCATCATGACCCTACCTGAGAACCCATGTGGGATGTGGAGACCAGCTCCCACTGGGTTCATGGTCACAAGCCTGTCTATCCACGCAGCTCTAAGGACTTGGCCTGTGGACACTATTGACTGGGACAGGGAAAGAAAGGCTGGTCCCAGAATCCAGGATGACAGAGGGTGTGGCCAGGTGAAGGGTGTGTTCCTACAAGGCTGTTGGGCAGGCAAGGCAGGCCAGGCAGGACTGGGAGGAGTTTCAGGGCCTCTGAGAAGCCATGCTCGGGAAGCAGCAAGAGTATCCAAGGGGCCTGGGCTTCCCTGGTTGCTGAGAAGAAGGACAGCAGAGATCTGGAGACCACACTGAGGAGGGACCTCCTTAGGTCCGGAAACTGCAGAGTGTGTCCTGAGAAACCAAAGCAACGCACCAGCCCAGTGGGCCCTGCCAGCTGCCCAGAGCCACCATGGAGGTGAGCTGTGTGGGTGTGAGTGAGTGTGCATGCGTGTGGGGCTGGCTCAGGAATAGAATGGTGTCCAAGCAGTGGCCCCATGACACCAACACAGTGGGGACACACTTGCTGCCAAGAATCAGAGAATCTCATCCCCTAGCCAATCTTCTCCACCTGTGTCCAGACTCCCTCCTTACTATGAAGGGTCTCAGGACCAAGGCAAGGCTTTGCCCATCTCCAAGTGGAAGGGCCCCCAGGTCCACACCCAAGTCTGGCATCTGGCTGTGGGGCAAAGTCAAGCCCGGACAGGCCCCGACAGGTTCTCTGAAGGCTGAAGAGTCGGGTCTAGAGAGGAAGGTGGGTACAGGAGCAGGAGGGGGCACAGTTGGCAGACATCACGAGGATGACCCACCATGGGGTCTAGGGCCATTGGGCACAAGCAGATTCTACTCATCCTCAGGGATGAAAGTCGGATCCACCTGTGCTTCAGCTGACACCAAGGCAGCTGAGCTGGCTCTGAGCCCCAGGTCCTCACTGGCCTGGTGAGAGAACCTATAGCCACCTGAGATTAGCAACCCAAGTCCCCTCTGTGTGTCCAGACCCTCTGTGAAACCATAAACAGAAAGATAACAGCCTGGGGAAACTGAGGCAAGGCTTGATCATGTTGACTTGTCTGCCCCCACCTTTCTCAAGGCTACATCTATCCAAGTAGGGGCCACATCTTGGTCACCAGAAGGCACTACATACGCATTCTAGACTCGTATTCTAGGCAGGTAGGCTGGAAGTCTCAGCTGGAGGAGGCACAGGCAGAGAGAAGGGGTAGCTGTGGGGATCCCCAACACGGAAGGCCAGCAATCGGGACTCATCACCCAGACTTCCTGGAAGCCGCAAAGAGAGACACCCAGGGCCTCTCAACCTACCTGAGCACCTTGACCCATAGGGAGCTCTTGGCTTCATCTCCGCCCTGCCACGCCTCAGGTGTGGGTGCTAGCTGGATCAGGGCCAGAGCGCTGACAGAAACAAACCTCATTGACACCCAGCGGACACTAGCAGGGGATCCAGAGGATTTGGAGATCAGCCTGGGGCGACTGGATGCCAAAATTATACTGCCCACCCTGCAGGGCTGGCCCTGAATGTGTCAGCTGAGCCAGCGAGTTCTACCAGCAGGTTACTTACCCCGGGGCAAACAAACCCTGACCCCGACTCTAGAGAGACCACATGGCCAGCTAGAGACTTGCCACAGACCAGCCTGAAGCCCAGTGTGGAAACCTCAGCCCACATCAGAGGTGGAGGCCATGGGACAGTGGTGGAAGCTAGGAACAAGCAGAGCGGCTTTCCTGAACCCCCACCCCCAGTTCTCTCAGTACCACCTTCTGGATTGGCAGGAGTCTAGTGTCCTGGTCACAGTGAACAGTAGGCTAGTGGGACTATCCTCATATGGGTGTGGCCAGGGCCTAGCCCTCTGTGACTGTGGTCTCTGATACCAGCCTCTGGTGAGGCCTCACTCGGCAGTGTGTGTGTGAAGAAGCAGGGACAAGAAGCTAGCTTCTCAGCCGGGCGGTGGTGGCGCACGCCTTTAATCCCAGCACTCGGGAGGCAGAGGCAGGTGGATCTCTGTGAGTTCGAGACCAGCCTGGTCTACAAGAGCTAGTGCCAGGACAGGCTCCAAAGCCACAGAGAAACCCTGTCTCAAAAAAAAAAAAAAAAACCAAAAAAAAAAAAGAAGCTAGCTTCTCTCTTGCCGCCTTCCCCTGTGACCCCTCACTTCTCCAGCTGTATCTGAGCTCAGCACAGCGGCTCCCCCTCTTTCTCCAGCTTCCGGGATGTGGTACTCTGTCGAGACTGTGGACTCCCTCTGCAGGCGAGTCATTTGGCAAGCCCTTCCCTTGTTCCAGAGCCAGGCAGCAAAGATGGTCCCCAGCCCTAGACATATCAAGGATGTGTTTGCCAAAGCCACACGGTGCACCCAGCAGAGACCCATTTCTGCCCCCACCTCACATGCCCAGAAGGGGGAGCCAGAAAGGGAGCTCCACCACCCAGAAGGGTGCCATCGCCTCCATTAAAGTCCATTCCTGAGATGGCTACCTGATCTCTCCCATCTCACAGCTTAGAACCCACTAGGAAGATGCTGCAATGACCAAAGTTTTCCAGCAGGGGGCAGAGCCTGCTGAGGTCGAGGCATGATCTGGAGACCCAAGAATGGGGTGGGGGGGGGGGCTTCTGCGTTATTAAGGACCCAGGCACAGCGTCAGGTTCCAGAAACTCCTAACCAGAAGGACAGATAAACACCCAAACAGATCTCAGATGAAAGCTTTTAGCAATGGGATGCGGAGACATTGCTAGAAGTGACAAAAGGCCGGGACATCAGTATCTGGGAGGTGAGGGTGCAGCAGCCATGGTCCAGGGTCTATATGTCAGGGACAGAGGTGGCCTAAGCAGTCAGGGAATGACTCCCAGGACATGTGCAGTCATGGGAAGTACATGATGAGAAGACATGGATTATAAGGGATCATGGGGTTGACAGATCTCAGCCTTGTACAGTTGGGTACTTCTGGAGTATCCCAGACACGTGCTAAGCCTCCAGTGTTCGTGTCTCAACTCCAAAAGGAAAGTAGCCTGAAATCATCAGTAGGGTCACATGGCACAAAGGACCAGATGGGTGACATCATAATACACCCACAGTGGTAAAGCCCATATGAATCCAGAACAGACCTGAGATATGGCCAGAGCACCCACCTACTCCAGGAGCCAGGACAGGTGAGCCTCTTTCCACAGGCATGTCACATGGTAGGGATTCTAGGCAGGTGTTCTACCACTGAGCCACACCCCAGCCCCTCACTGGGGGATTCTAGGAAGACAGTCTAAAGATGAACTACATTCCCAGCACACTTTTTATATTTTATTTTTAGATAGGATCTCACTAAGTTGCCCAAGCTGATCTTGAATTCACTCTGTATCCTAGGCTAGTCTTGGTTTACCAGTGTTGCCTCAGATTCCAAAGTAGCTGGGATGACAGGCCTATGCCATGAGGTTTGATTAAATTTACCCATTTTTATTTTTTCGCTCATTTGTATATTCATTCATGAATATGTATAGTGATTGATTCAGTGGGACAGGCTTTCCACTAGCCCAGTTTAGCCTAAAGCAGTTTGTAGCAAGAATGACCTTGAACTTCTAACCCTCCTGCCTATAACTGAAGTGCTGGGAAAACAGTCGGACACCAGCCCACTTGGTTTATGCCACACGGGGTGGAACCCTGAGCTTCACGCATGCTAGGCCAGCACTCCACCAACTAAGCCACATCCTCAGCACTACCCAGTTTTAAGCGCACAATTCTGGAGTAGTAGGGATGCCCACAATAGGCAGCCCCCACTTTGTCTAGTTCTAGATCTTTCTCACCACTCAAAAAAGAAGTTCTATGTCCGCGAATCCCCCATGGCCTTCTTCCTCCAGCTGGCCCAGCTCACGCACGCCCTTCTCTCTTGTCCCTGCCTGCTCAACTGCCTGACAACCTGGTGCCAGCAGGTGAAGGCACCTGCCAGCTAGGCTGTTCCTGGAAGCCAGCTGCTGCTGAGCAAACAACCCCAGAGGGATAGAGTGTCGACAGGGGCGGGGACAAGCCTTAGCTTCCCCTCCCTTTGCCCCTCCCTCAGCCCTCAGCCTAGGTGGGCCATTGGCCAGGTGAGGCCCTGTGTACCTTTCCTGGCCTAGCGCTACCCTCCAGAGACCGGCCTTGCCCCAAACCGAAGCTTGACTTCCAGTGGGGGCCATGTGGCCGCGTGAATGACCAGCCAGGCTTCCCATGAGGCTAGGCCTCTCAGGCCTGGGCCAAAGAGCTTCCTGCTCACCGAGGTAGGCTCCCGCCCCCGTGACAGACAACTGAGGGTAGGAAAGAGGCCCAAGGTTGTTGGCTCCCAGCTGGTACATGCACTACTGCTTACTGCTGGAGCTTGTGGAGACCCTAAAGAGTATCTGGCCAGAGTCAGAGGCAAACAAGGGTCGGGTGGGGGTGGAGCACCTTCTCCTGCCTGAAGGTATGATTACTGGCCATCCCTCCCAAATGTCCCAGGCAGGTGGATCCCCACTTCCCAGACAAGTTTCGGGTTTATTGTTTGCTTTGGTAGAAACAAGTTTCGGGGTTTATTGTTTGCTTTGAATTTGAGTTTGTTTGGAGATATTTTTCTATTTTGAAACTGAGTAACTAGGTAGCCCAGGCTGGCTTTATATTTGCTAGGATTACAGGTGCGTGCCATCGCCACCTGCTTAGAAAGTCTTTGACTCCTAGGAAGTAGCTGTCAATAAGCCCAGAGCACAAAGGAACCTGAGGGGGCTTCCTCCCTGAACATCCACCCAGGATCTGAGCCCCAGGCAGCAAAGCGGCCAGGTCCCTTGTCCTTCAAGTGGGATCCCATGGCTACCCAGAGTCAGGAGAGTGGGTGGGAAAGCCAGGGCAGACTCCCACAAAGGGGACAGGTGGCCACGATGGGCCCCCAGGGAAGCTTCTGTGAATATGGGCGGGGTGCTAGGGATGGTAGCCAGGCAGGCAGAAACGGCTGTGGGCAGAGCTGGCCCCTGGGCGACACCCACATGGCCTTGCCCATCTCCTGCCCCACCTCCTGCCCCTCACACTCCTATGGAGGGGAGGGGGCTGCCCTGGCTGCTCACTCCTCTGTTGGCTTCTGCAGATGAGGAATGCATCAGGCTTTCTGAAAACAGCCGGAGCTCCTTTGGTGTCAGCGACCTGGATTCCACCCAGCCCCTCTCCGGCAATGCCCATGGTGGCAGCCGGGCCGCAGATGGAGCGCGTGGACAACGGCTCACAGGGGCCCCACCAGCTCTTCCTCACCAGTGCATTGGCTCGAGGGGTGTCAGGCGTGTTTGTATGGACTGCTCTGCTCTTAACCTGCCACCAGGTAAGCACCCCAAAACCCTGCTGGGCTCACAGTCTCTATGGGACCCGGCAGGGCTCAGATGGACCCCCATGGACAAGATACTGGGATCATGGAATCTCCAGTCATAGCCTCCAGTACTGGACACCCCATGCATAGTGTCCGTCTATGGCACTTGTCCAGGGCTTACATGTAGGGGCCAAACCCAAGGTGGGAAGTCTCGGCCAGACAGAGGGTACTTTGCTGGGTGGGCACCCCCAGTCATGTCTGAGGCCTCTCACTCTGCTCACCAAGATCAGTGATTGGTCCCAGGTCCCAGACAGCAAGAACACTAAGGCTCAGAGATGACTGGAGGCTTCCCCAGGCTCACACAATTGGAAGAGAAAGGGCCTCTCCCCCCCCCCCCCCAGGAACGTCCAGGGCTTGGACTTTGCTCTATACAGAGAACCTCAAGTCAGACATCGGGAGTTTGGGGAGGAGGGGCAGGAAGATGGGAGAAGGAGCGGAGCTAGGAGAGTGGGGACTGAGAGGAATGGGAACTGGGGCAGTGAAGAACTGGAAGGGTGCTGAGGGCAGTGAGCCGAGAGGTAGTGGGTGGAACTAGGAGAGTTGTGAAGTAAGAAGCTGGGGCTAGGGGCTGGGCAGGCAGAGTGGAGAACTGGGGGAGGAAGATGGCAGCTGGAATATGGTAGCAGTTGGGGAGCTGGAGCCAGAGAGTTGAGGACTTTTGGGAGCTGAAAGCCCCAGGCCCTTTGGAACACCCATTTGGCACCAGGGGAGGGCCTGAGTCAGTAGGTAAGCTGTGTGCAGGAACTAAGCAAACACCTCTGCCTGTGACAGCCACCTGCTGACTGGTACCTGGCCAGGTGTGCCTCAGTAACCAGGATACAGGCCTGGCCCTGAGGGCAGGCCAGGCAGGTGTCAGCCACTTGTTAGGATCAGCAGGATGACCTCTGGGAGGAATAGGGGCTGGCACAGAGAGAGGATCAACACCTCCATTTACAAATGGAGAAACTGAGGCAAGAGAGGGCAGCAAGTTGTCAAGGTCACCAGCCAGGTGGTGCTAGCCTGGGAAAGGTCTCCCCGCTGGCTGGTCACATTCTGTCCTCCCTCAGCGGCTGGGGAGGGAGGAAGGGACTGATAAGGAGCTGGTCTCTGACGCCAGCAGCCTTCGCACCCCACGCAGCCCCTGTACACACACAGCTCCCTCTAAAAGCATGACCTCCATGCCCCGCAGGGCACCTCCCCAAGGAGTCTTTCTCACAGTGGCCTGGAACCAGGAGGAGGCACCCAGCTCCTAGCCTACTTCCTCTTAGAGACTCTGTACAGAGGGGCTTAGGGGCACAGGCTGACCCGAGAGGATCACAAGAGAAGGCCTCCGTGGAGTCCACAATGTGTTCAAGACCAGCCTGAACAGCTAGCAAGACCCCCACCCCCAGATAAAACAGAGGAAAGAGAATGGCTCAGAAGTAGAGTACGGCTGAGGGCACACGAGGTCCTGGGTTCTGTTCCTGGAACTGGGGGTGGGTGTGGGGGGCATGTTCCTATTCTGTTTCTGGTAGAAAAAATGCAGAAAATTCAGAAAAACTTTAAGACGAACAGCATAATCACCTTCCTGGATTGGTTTTTGTTTTGTTTTGTTTGTGACAGCATCTTGTAGCCCAGCATGGCCGGCCTCGAACTCCCTATGTAGTAGAGGATAACCTTGAACTCCTGATTTTCCTGCTTCCATTTCCCAAGTTCTGAAATTACAGGTGTGCATCACACACCTCCCGGTTGATATGGAGCTGAGGATGAAGCCCTGGGCTTCCTTTGTACTCGGCAGGCACTCCATCGACTGAAACACATCCCCAGCCCTTTCCTTCCATTTTCGTTAGGCAGAGATGACACTTGAACCTGCTTGGCTTCCTATTCTGACCTTGGGTACCTCGTCTCGTCAGAAGATTTCCCTTAGAGCTGTGCATTGAAGCCCCGTTCTTACTGACTATATAGCGTGCCTCCACACATAGGCTCTATGGGGTGAGCCTGGCATCCCATGGTGAGCGTAGCCCCAGCAGTTGTAACTGGGGTTCATGTGATGAACCTCTTTACACACAGATTTTTTTTTCCTCTTTATTTCTGTAAAGGGACAGATTCCTTGAAGGGATCAAAGAGCAAGAGGCCTGCCATGGTCCCCAAGTTGAGAGCCTACCTGTACCACAGGGGACATTTAGGTCTCCTTACTGAGTTCTGACACTTAGCAGGACTCAGGAAACTCTTGTTGGATGAGTGAATGTCCTGACTTCGGGTATGTTCTTCAAGATGACCCCACAGGGCATCAAAATATGTTACAAGCTTGAAAATGCCTAAGGAATGAATTTTAGGCTTAGTGTGACAGACGGGCTCATCACTTCACCACTGGGCGAGGCTGAGGCAGAAGGATCATGCATTCAAGGCCAACCTGGGCTACATAGTATAACTCTCAAAAGCAACAGCAGTGTTTTTTTTTTTTTTTTAAGATTTCAGGGCTGGAGAGATGGCTCAGCGGTTAAGAGCATTGCCTGCTCTTCCAAAGGTCCTGAGTTCAATTCCCAGCAACCACATGGTGGCTCACAACCATCTGAAATGAGGTCTGGTGCCCTCTTCTGGCCTTCAGGCATACACACAGGAAGAATATTGTATACATAATAAATAAATAAATAAATAAATAAATATTAAAAAAAAAAAGATTTCATACCATGTCACAGAATCAAGTGAGGCATGAGGTTGGCTGGTCTCAGCCTTTTATGGTCTGTCAAAACAGGAGATGGCTCTGCCGCTGTGCAAGCCTGGGACCAGAGCTCCATCTCTGGGACCCATAAAAAATATGCCAGGCAGAGCAGGACACATCTATAACCCCAAGGAGGGATGACCAATCAGATCCCTGAAACTGACCAGCCCGCTCTAAGTTGAGTCAAATCCATGACCTCCAGATTCAGTGCAAGATCTCATCCTACAGTATGAGCATGGTGTCTGAGGAATGACCCTGGAAGGTACTTCTGTTCCCTCTTCTCAAGAGTGAACGAGGACTAGCGGTGTGGCTCAGTGGTAGAGCATGTGCCTGCAGATCCTCTAAGGAGGGGCTGGGGAGATGGCTCAGCAGTTAAGAGTACTTGAGGCTCTTGCAGAGGACCAAGCACCCGCAGACTCAACTGTCTGTAACTCCCGCTGCAGGGGATCTGACCCTCTTCTGGCCTCCATAGACACCCACACATAATGGCATATCCTCAGTGCAGATGCTATAGATGCATAATGTTTTTATTTGTTAATTGCAAACGCTTTTTTTCTTGGTGGTACTGGGGATTGAACCTGGGACTTCACACATGCTAGACAAGTGCTTTCCCAGTAAGCCACACTCCCTGCCCACTGATACTGTTTCAAAGAGCTGAAGATATGGTTCAGTGGGAAACCACTCACTTAGTCTGTGCAAGACTTTGGGTTACATACAATAATAAAGTCTGGCAGTGGCTCACACCTTTAATCCCAGCACTTGGGAGGCAGAGGCAGGCAGATCTCAATTCATTCAAGGCTAGCCTGATCTACAGAGTGAATTCCTGGTCAGCCGGGGCTACATAGTAAGTCAGGCTATACTGAAAATAAAAAAAATAATATATATTTGTATATATTAAGCATGTATTCAGTTTTGAGGGAGCATATCCTAGGGATTGAATCCAGAGCCTTGCTCTTGCTAGGTAAGGACTCTACCTTAGCCAGGACCCTGCCCTGCTACCTCCTGTATTATTCCTCAGGTACCATCCATCCTACTTTTAAGGGACAGTCTCTCACGGAGACCTGGAGTTCCCTGATTTGGCTGCACTGGCTGACCAGTGAGTTCTAGAGAGCCAGCTGTCTGGGATTAAAGGCATGCATTAATGTACCTAGTTTTTTGTCCATGAGTCTGGCTTGAACTCCGGTACTTATGCTTGCAAAGGTGCAACTGAGCCACCTCCCCAGTCCTACTTTCTAGTTGGAGCCAGGGATGCTCAACTGGTCTTGCACTCACCCACGATGCTCCTGTCATAAGCAGATTTGACTCTTCTAATATATACGCTACAACCTCCCTCTAACGGCTTCCACTGTCTACTCATCCTGTGCTCAGTGGAACATTAGGCAGTGTAGGAGAGGGAGGGCAGCCTGGAGCTCTGCCCGGCTCCGGTTCCTCTTGTATTCGGGCTGGCACCCATGTGGTGGACGACAGGGCCAGGAGCAGGGACAGAGGCGCCACAGAAACTCTTCTGCCACAGATCTACTCGCACCTGCGTTCCTACACCGTCCCGCAAGAGCAGCGCTTCGTCATCCGCCTCCTGTTCATTGTGCCCATCTACGCCTTCGACTCATGGCTCAGCCTCCTCCTCCTCGGGGGCCATCCATACTACGTCTACTTAGACTCTGTGCGAGACTGCTACGAAGGTGATACTCCAGGCTGGGCCTACGGGAGCTCAGCGGGGACCCTCAGCTTCACACACGCACACCTACCTGCACACACTTCCCCTGCCATCATCCCCAAGGTGCCCTGTCTCAGCTGGGACCTGCTTCCGGGGTTGTGCAATCGGCAACCTCGATGCCTGGGACTCACAGTCTGAGTAAGCTCGCTCCCTCTCCTGGGGTATGCTGAGTGGATCTGGTGGCACCTGCATGCAGAGGGGTTCTGTGACTGACCCTCACTATCATCCCCTGTCCCCCTGCAGCATTTGTCATCTACAGTTTCCTGGCCTTGTGCTTCCAATATCTGGGGGGAGAGAGCGCCATCATGGCTGAGATCCGTGGCAAACCCATCCGGTGAGTCCACCCACAGGCCCCGCCCCGTCTGGGGCCCGAGCCAGGCCACACTGTAGAACCCCCAATTATCTTCCTAGTGACCTTAATGACATCTTCCTCATCTGCAGGTCCAGCTGCTTCCATGGGACCTGCTGCCTCCGTGGCATGTCCTATTCCATCACTTTCTTACGTTTCTGCAAACAGGTGAGGGGGCCTGCTCACCCCACCCCAATGCCCTCACCCTACCCCACCCCATCCCAACCTCACTCCCTTCCCCCACCCATCCCAGGCCACACTACAGTTCTGCATCGTGAAACCTGTCATGGCTTTGACCACCATTATCCTCCAGGCTTTCGACAAATACCACGATGGGGACTTCAAGTAAGGGGGACTATGAGCAGGTGTCTGAGGGGCAGGGCTCCCCCGCAGGTCCCTTCTTCAAGTGGCCTTCTTCCTCCTCTCTGTGGTAAAGTGTGTGCCTAGCATGCATGAGCATCTGGGTTCTATCCCCAACTTCATATAAACTAAGTGTGGTGGTGGTACACGCTTGACATGTAGCACTTGGGAGGTTGATAGAGGAGGATTAAAAACTAGAGGTCATCTTTGGCTATCTGAGGAGTTTGAGGCCATCCTGGGCTACATGAAATCCTGCCTCAGAACAAACAAACAAAAACAATGCTAAGGTTGTGGGAGGGCTCAGGAGGACAGGCCACAGCTCTGGGGGAGGCGCCTGAACCATGTCCTATTCCTGAGGGGTAACCCCAGGCCCCCAACCATTACTCCCTTTGGTACTGTCTGAGGCCCTGGAGGGAGGATCTAGATGGAGCTATCCTGGGGGTTGGGTGCCCAGCCAGGGGACAGGCTAAAAGAATGTCATGAGGGACTATTCTAACCAGCACTTCCTCTGACCCAGCATCCACAGCGGCTACCTGTATGTGACCGTTGTGTACAATGCCTCAGTTAGCCTGGCTCTCTATGCTCTGGTCCTTTTCTACTTCGCTACCAGAGACCTCCTGAGGCCCTTTGAGCCAATGCTCAAGTTCATCACCATCAAAGCCATCATCTTCCTCTCCTTCTGGCAGGGTATGTGAGCCTGGGCAAGGGTGGGGAGCCAGGACTGGCATCCCTGGGACCTGGGTTCAGATCTGACCTCTATCTCAACCTTGTGTGCCTCGGCATCTGTAACCTTACGAAAAGTCAATAACTCAGCTGATCAGCTCAGAGCTGGCAGAGTCTGGAGGGGAGCCTGTTGACCGTGAGATCTGTCAACAGTAGGAAGCCTTGGCTTCCAGAACCCTGGTCCCCACCAAGCCCCCAGCAGGCCATGAGATCTCACTCAGTCCCCACAGCCAGCAGCATAAAAGCAGGGATTCCCAGGCCCAAGTTGGATATGTCTGGGTGAGAAACAGGAACCCTGACTTTGAGGTACCCAGCCCTTCTCAGCCCCTCCACAGCCCCTCCACCAATGTGGTCAGTATCAAAGAAATCCTGGGATAAGGCTAGCCTTTCCCCCTGCATACCCTCGGCTTCAGTAAGAACCTTGGCAGGGCTCAGCTTCCACCCAACAATGGGGCCTGAATGGTTGTCTATCTCTAGGAATGGTGCTGGCCATCTTGGAGAGGTGTAGGGTCATCCCTGAGGTCCAGGCCATGGACGGCACCAGGGTGGGGGCTGGCACCCTCGCCGCTGGCTACCAGAATTTCCTTATCTGCGTTGAGATGCTGTTTGCCTCGCTTGCGCTGCGCTATGCCTTTCCCAGTCAGGTGTACTCAGAGAAGAAGAACACGCCAGGTGAGCTGGGCCCCACCACTGAGGGGCACCTGCAATGGCTCAGCCATGATGCCTATCCCTGGAGGGGTCTTAGCCAGGCAGGCAAGGGGAGATTGTGAGCTCTGAAAGATGAGGACAGAGGAAGTTACTCTCTTAATACTTGGTGCTTGCCGAGGGTGTCAAGAGTGGCTGAGTTGGCTGTCCTAGTGAGTGTGCTGACTGGCCACATGGCTGGTGACTGCATGGCTCCTGGCCACTCAAGGCAGGAGTCTATTCAAAGATAGCCCAAGACCAAGGCTAAGACACAGGAGCGCCTTTAATCCAAGCACTCGGGAGGCAGAGACAGGCAGATCTCTGTGAGTTAGAGGACAGCCTGGGCTACAAGAGCGAGTTCCAGGACAACTAGGGCTGTTACACAGAGAAACCCTGTCTCAAAAAACTAAGAGAGAGAGAGAGAGAGAGAGAGAGAGAGAGAGAAAGAAAGAAGGAAGGAAGGAAGAAAGATGGATGAAGGAGCTGAGCTGGGTCTCTAGTCTAAGGTCACCTACTAGCCAATGGCAAGGCCTGGACATGCTGGATCCTCAGACCCAGATAGCCCAAGGTGAGACAGGGCTGAGGGACTGGGTTAATGAAGCGGGGTGCTGTGGACCAGAGGACCTGTGACTCAGGCCCACATGTTCTACCTTCCAGCCCCGCCAGCACCTATGCAGAGTATATCCAGTGGCTTAAAGGAGACCATCAGTCCACAGGACATCGTCCAGGATGCCATCCATAACTTCTCACCAGCATACCAGCAGTATACACAGCAGTCCACACACGAAGCTCCTGGGCCTGGCCAGGGTGGGCACCCATCGTCTAGCACCCACCCTGGCCCAGCCAGCAGCTCCGGAGGGGGTAAGAAGAGTCGCAACATAGAGAAACGCATGCTGATTCCGTCAGAGGACCTGTAGGGGCATGGGGTGTGTGGAGCCTAGCAGGGGACCCACCCATCAGCATTTCTTTTGACAGAGGCCCAGCCTCTTCTGAGAGCTCACTGGGGGGGCGCGTTGGGCCTCTCTATTCCCTATATATCGCCCAGAGCGAAGTCACCTGGGCAAATTGGACAAACCTAAGGACCCAGTGAGATGTCTTAGTTACAGCCTGCAGGTGGCGCTATGAGTTGGCCCTTCCTTCCACAGGCAGAAGCAGTGCGTGGTAGATCTGCAGAGAGAGATGGCCAGGGAGAATGGGCCCAGTCACTCAGGCCTGGGGAGTCACACAGCCTCGGCCTGGCTGTGGCTATCTTAGATGTATGAAGAAGGCCCTTTGTCCTGCGTTCTAGCACAGATACTTGTCCAAGCCCTCCCAGGGGCAGCCTAACCTATTCAGCACAACAGGGTTGCCAGGGCACCAGCCTGCCAGCTACTGACTGCTTATTTATAGATAAACTCCTTGCATTTTTTAGAGTTTGTTGGGCTTTCTTTTCATGTGGGGCTTGTCTTCTGAGTGATGGATCCCTAAGTAGTGGGTTTGCTGGTGCCCACGGAGCAAGGCTGGGTGTCAGAAACAGCCAAGGTGTGAGCCACGATGTGGCTCAGAGCAGTATAGGGCAAAGGGTGTGGACCTTGTCCCCAGATGACCAGCTCTGTTCCACAACAAAAGTTGGGACAGTCACCTCCCTCTGAACCTCAGGTTGGCCCAACCCTAAAGTGTTTTATAAAGCTTGTGGCACACAGCCTAGCATGCCTGAGTACAGGGACTCAGGCCTGGGAGCCCCCTTCTGTCTTTCCTCTTCCTGTGTACCCAGTTCAGTGCTCATGGAGTCTGGGATAGGCTAGACTGGCTTTGGAAACACGGAGGACAAAGGTAACAGGGGTAGGGAGTCAGTGACCAGCTGTCCAGGCAAGCAACCAGACAGAAGTGCCTGGTGGAAACCACCTAGGAACAGCATCGCTTTGCCCAGTTGCCAGCTCCCAGAGCCCACAGTATCAGACAAGGCAGCTGCACTTCTCTGCCTTCTTGTTCTTGGGGCCCAGACACAGGAGGAGTCAAGGCCAGTGGCGTCTCCCTGGCTCTTCTGGGTTGATAAGATAGACTCTGTTCCTCCCTGCACCTGACTGTAAAAAGCCACCCACACCCACTTATCTGCCTTCTGGGACAGGCAGGCCCACAGTGTGGCCCCCTCAGCCCACACAGTCAGCAGAACTGGGAGGGGCTCAATACTCCGAGAGTCCTACACTCTAGAGGCTCAGCGCTGGCCTTCAACTACAAGAGGAGGGCTGGCTTCCTTTGCCCTGGAGAGGCCATAAGCAGCGACAAGCTAGGAAGGATCCGCTTCCCAGGAGCTCAGACACAAAGTAAGATCCCAGGCCTTGGGCAGTATCTGGGGTCTGCACTTTAGAGAGAAGGCCAAACTGACATCACTAAACACCCACACATGCACCAGGAACCTCTGTACCCTGGTCCTGGGGAAGGTGTGCCAACCAAAGAAATTCAACAAGTTGCCTGCAGTTACTGAGCCAGTAGGGGATGCTACCAGTAGGGGTCACTGCGCCTTGCTTCCCTCTCCCCCTCCACCCCTATTCAGACATGCCTCAGTCCAACTTGACACCAAGCAAAGTTGGGCCATGGTTATCATGGAATGTGGCTGTGGACTGACTCAGAAGGATCTGACCAGGCCAAGGTGGTCAAAGAATAATGGGGAGTTATCGGAATACCAGAGGAAGAAGGGGGCTTCGGTCTCATCGCCTCTGGTGAAAGAACCAACTGCAAGTCTGACCCATGGGGCCCAAGGAGGGACAGCTTGCCAGGCAGTAACTGTGCAGATCCTGGCACAACCTTCTGCTATTTCATGTGTGTGTACATTTGTAAGGAGGTCAGAGGTCAATACTGGGTGTCTTCCTTGGTTATTTTCCACATTAGTTTTTAGGACAGGATCTCTCACTGAATGTAGAGTTTCATCATTTTGGCTAGGCTTGCTAGCCAGTAAGCACCAAAGATCTGCTTGTCTTTGTCCCTACAATTGCTGGGATTACACACACGTAACAGGTGTTTTGTTTGGGTTTGGTTTGGTTTATCAAGACAGGGTTTCTCTGTGTAACAGCTCTGGCTGTCCTGGAACTAGCTCTTGTAGACCAGGCTGGCCTCAAACTCACAGAGATCCGCCTGCCTCTGCCTCCCGAGTGCTGGGATTAAAGGCGTGCACCACTACTGCCTGGCTCTGCGAGTTTTTTATGTTGGGGTTGGGGATCTTACATTTACACGGCAGGCACTATTCTAAGCCATCACACTAGCCCTCATTCTTTGAGACAGGGTTTTACTTTGTAAGTTAAGCTGGCCTGGAACTCACTATTTAGCCAAGGCTAACCTCAAACTCTTATGTAGCCAAGGCTACCCCTGGACTTGGAATGATCTTGCTACCTTATCCTCCTAACTACAGTGATTTATAGGCATGAACCATCATGAAGGGCTCTTGCCATTTTTGAACCTGTTCTGACCTCTGGTCCCCATGTGTGAGGTAGCCCAAGTAAAACCCAAAGCAGTTTACATGGTATGGGTGTGCCACGTGAGTGGACCTTTTATAGTCTCTGCCCAGAGGTTGGTTACTACTCAGGAACAGGAAGACCAGAAGATTCAGAGGTCAGCTGTAGAGAAATAATCTGGCCTAGCTAGAGACTGTTTCTGTCTTGAAAAATCACCAAGCGGGCTAGGCCAGGTGGCCCGCGAGCCCCAGAGATCTACTTGTCTCTGCCTCCCTAACACTGAGATTACAAATATGCACCTGGCTATTCTGTGTGGTTTCAAGGGATTGAACCCAGGTTCTCATGCTTGCAAGGCCAGCACTTCACCAAGTCAACTGAGCTATCCCAAGCTCTAGTCAGACTTCTGAGAGCATTTCGTTAGCTTCAGCAAACTGGAACATTGCTTTGGGCCTTACTTAAGACCCTGTCCCTCTTGCAGTGCCCTGCATGTCCATCCTAGACCCCACCTGTCATTGCTCAGGGGCTGAGGCCAAGCAGCCGGTATGACCCACCACATGAGAAAGGGGGGCTCAGGTCTCAGAGGTTCCCAACTATGAAGCACAAGTTACATTGGCCATCAGAGACTTCTTGCCAGGGTAGCCTGGACATTCAGATATATGTGCCAATGACCAGGAGTGAAGGTGGAAGGTGTCACCTTGTTCTACTTCGTCCCTGTATCTCAGAAGATGGCCTGGGGAGAACACCAAGGTGTGCAGAGTAGAAGGCTAGGCCTCAGGGAAGGCCAGCCCAGGCTGGAGGGCAGGACACAGGGTTCCCAACCACATCACCATCCACACACCGGAAAGCATCTCAAACAGGAAATTCTTTATTGCAAAGATACAAAAGCAGTCACAGCGACATGTACAGCAATAAATTAGGTAGTGGCCATGAGGCGGGGCACAGACAGGGGGTCAACAGTCTGTGATCTCTTCTCAATAATTTATAACATGAGGGGAGGGAGGAAGCACAAAAATAAATATTGAAATGAAACTGCCAAGGTGGCTGGGGACACCAGGCCTCCACGTGGTCAGCATGCATCCCTGCCACCTTTTGAAAAAGTAAAGCTTGCTTTGAGAAGTCAGAGGAACAAGACAGAAAACTCACTTTTATCTTAAATAAAAACTCCATATATTAAATTGTGATGATGAAATTTCAGTGACAAAGAGCCACAGGGCACGCTCACACCCTTCCCAGCCCCTTTCAGGCAGGTACCCTGCACAGGCGCTCCAGGTGGCACTGAAAGCCCCATCCAGCCTGCAGGCCAACAGTATGGAGTCTCCTTCATGGAGACCACCACAGGCCTGCAGTGGGCAGCAACCCACAGCCAGGGGTCACCCTGCCTACCACTGGAGACTACCCTGGAGACCACGCATTTCAGTGTGATACCTGCTGGAACAAGCTTCACCAGTGACCCAAGCATGCCCAACGCCACCACAGAAAGACTAAGGGAGGCTGTTGGCACTCTGGGCCTCCATCCATGGCCAGTTCCCCACCTCACTGGCCAACCTACTCTGCATTAATAAAAGATCTACAGTATCAAACTGGGAAAGAAAACTGTATGAAAAAATCTGTACGATAAAATGTGTATATAATTATATATATATATATCTTCTCTCTCTTTAAATATCCCATGGTCCTTATTGATATCCAATATGGATTACCTACCAAGGCAATGGTTCCAACAGTGCTTCCTAAGTGCCTGACTTTGGCTCAGCCTGCCCCCGACTCCTTGTCCACCATATACTCCTCAGAGCCTGGAGGACATAATCCCTTCAGTAAGAAAGCACAAGATGGCCGATGGCCCAGAACGCTATGGAAGGAGGAATAGGCAGGTAACAATTGGGCACCAAAGTCGCAGAGTATCTGCACATACAGTCTGCCCTGGGCCCCTGCTGACACCCACAGGGCATGTCCACGAGGCCCTACAGATGCACCCTTTGTCCCTCCATACTAAGCCTCTTAGGCCTCTTCCACATCCCCTGGGCCGCCAGGACTTCACCCTGACTTCACCTCATTCCTATTTTGTTTTGTTTTTTTCCCCAGCAACAAGACACATCTTAACAGCCATTTCTGTAACCCTCAACACCTCTCAGGCTTCACCGGCTCCCCTCCAGCCTCTCCTCTCTGCTAAGCCCTAGGGAACCCGGGCCCTACTGTTTGCTGGCTCTATGGACAGATGGCCCCTGCACCACAATGGGCAACCTTAACACACCCCCAGGGACATTCCAGGACATCCGTGTAACCCTCACTACACATACTGGACAGGCTCTCCTGTGTGGCCACCTGGCCCAGTGGTTTCCTGTCTTCACACAGGCTGCCGTGACAGCCTGTATACACACAGGAACACATGAAGTAGCCTCTGCAGGAGGCTATATTGGGAACTGTTTCCCAGGGCGTGGACTTGGCTCTAAGGGCTAAAGCAGGTAGTAGCGCCCCTTGATAAGGACAAGGCCAGAGCCCAGAAAGTGACAGTATGGTGTCCACCCCAGCTGGAGGCCCTTAGGGGATGGCACTGATGGCGCTGACAGGCAGGCACCAGAGAAGTGGAAGACGAGTTCTCACTCCCTCCCACAGGGGGCCTGGAGTTGTTCATGCTGATGGCCCATGTGGTTCCTGTCAGCAACTAAAACCACACCCCTGGGGGAAGGAGAGATGTGAGTGGGGGTTGCTTGTAGCACTGGCTCATGAGAGCCTCCCTTTTATCCTGCATCCGCCTGTTCCTGCTCTCCTTGCCTTCAGCCCCACAGGGTGCACAGTGGGCAAGTGGACATGAGGAATCTGTACTAGGGAGCCCGGGAGAGGCGTGAGGGCTGTGCCACTGCCCACGCCCTGCCCGGCCCCGGCAGGCACTAGGAGGCAGCTGAAAATGGCACAGAGGTGGAGGAGAGCTCTGCGGATTTGACGATGGTGATGACACTGGTGGTGGCCACCTTGGTTGGTGTGACAGGCCCCCGGGCCACGGTGCGTGCAAAGGTCTGCAGGGCCTCGTACTTGGAGCGCAAGGCATCCAGCTCCAGTCGCATGCTGCTGTTCTCCCGGGCCAGCTTCTCTACTTCCTGTTGCAACTCTACACGCTGCCGCTCCAGCTCCTCCTTCTGGGTCACACGCTTGATACGGCAGCTAGCTGCGTAGCCACGGTTCTTGAGTGTGCGCCGCCGCTGCTTCAGCCGAGTCACCTCCTCTTTGGTGAGCCCCCGCAGGTGCTGGTTCAGCTCCCGCACCGACATGGACACCAGCTCATCATCACTAAGTACAGGGGCGTTCTCGCCCGCCTCCTTCTTAACCTAAGGAGCCAGATAAGCAAGAGTCAGCACGGGGGAGACAGGGTCCACCAGACTGGACACAGTCACCAAAGACTGGGATCTGGTACAACAAAGGCCCAGAAGTGCATCTACATTGTGTAATGTTCCCATTGTACATCAAGGTGGCAGCATGGGACTCCAAGATTATGCCCATGGCAGGGTACCACAAACAACCCCACTGCTGTTGCTGTGACCCCTCTTTGAACAGGAGGACCTGACAGTCAGTCCCTTGGGAAGTAAGGTCTTGAGTCAACTTAAGTTTTCTAGACACTCAAGGAACTGGGCTATTTCCCCTCAGATGTTCTTCTAGGTAAGGGACAGGATGATACAGTGGCCCTGCTCTTCCCTGACGTCTACCCACTGGTGCAAAGCGTGAATCTGGCTGGTCAGGGCTCACTCAAGGGAGTCCAGCACACAGCACTCAAAAGCCTGCGAGGCAAGAAAACTGACTCAGAAGCACCTTTGGTGACAAAGGTTGAAAAGGCCCAGAAGGGAGTAAGGGCCTGGGCCGGCAGACGGGACATCAGCTTACCTGAGGATACCACTCTGCCCACCTGGCACAGGAGGGGGGATGAGCTTGGGCAGATGAAGGGCCTGTGGATGCAGCTCCAGGTGGCTAGGATCTACGCAGCACCTGTCTTACCACCCACCCCTCCACCTGTGAGCTACCTTCCTGGTCAACAAGGCCAGGCTCTTCTGGGCCACTGTACCACCTCTCCTTCTAGGATCCTTCACCAATTCCTGAGGACAAAGCTAACCTCGTTTTAGGGGCTGTGCTGTACAAGTGGGGCTGCCAGGACAGGGTGAGTCTTCCCTGTGCCATGCCAGGACAGTGCCAGTCACAGCCCATGCTGGTCCAGCCCACCTTACCTTCAATGCTTTGTTCGGCTTGGGATTAGTCGTCATAACCTGGGCCCTGTCACCAGGACGGAACCACCAGGAAACTGTCGCTGGAAAGAAAGAAACAGTGTGGGTCAGGACCCAGCAAGCTACGGGCATTGCCTCTGAGTAACAATACTTGGAATCAGTTCTTCTCTCAACAACCAGAGACAGTAACAAGAGAACCTCAGCTCTAAAATAAAGGGGATGCACATGTAAATCTGCTTGTTCCTGTCCTAGTATGTCTGGCCAGCAACTCTACATGTTTCAGAACAAGCCCAATTCAGTTACAAAGTAACATGTTCCCCCCATCCAGTTCACAACGGCCTACAATAGTGATTCTCAACCTTCCTAATGCTGTGACTCTAATTCTGTTTCTCATGTTGTGGTGACCCCCAACCATAAAACTATTTTCAATGCTACTT